GTCGGTAAGGGTATTTGCCATACACGCAGCTGACCTGGGTTTGATCTTCGGCATTCCATATGACCCCTCAAGCACAGCCTGGAGTTATTCCTGAGTGGAGAAGTTAGGAGTAATCCCTGAGCATCGCCAGGTGTGACCCCCAAAACAACAAACAAAAAAAGTTCAGTTTTTTTGCAATACTTTTTCATAACTTTAGGATTTTTTCCCTCTCTTAGAATCCTGGGTGGTTCTCCTTAAACTTGGACATCTCCCTCCTCTGCCCAGCAGGACTGCCATCCTTTTGCTTCCTTTCCCTTGAATTCCAATCCTGGCCACTGCACTGAAGTGGAACCAGCCTGTTTGCCCCATTGTGACAAATAGACACATTGCATTCAGCCTCATGTCCTCAGAATTGAACTTGATTTTTTTTTTATATTGTGGTTTGTGAGTGGTGGGGAAGGAGATGGAGCACAGACCATTGTTTAGTAGATATTCAGAGGGCCGGGCGCACATGCGCGCTCCCGTGTGTGTGTGTGTGTGTGTGTGTGTGTGTGTGTGTGTGTATAAGTTCTTATCCAGTGAATTAAGGTCATTTACATTGGTTTGCTGAAAGAATACTTTTTGAAGCAGTAGATTGGGATACCAAATACTACACTTTGTAATTCTGTTATGTTTAAATTTTAAAGAAATAGGCTCTAGAATGGAGTATCTAATGTTACAGAAACCAGAAATCCTTTCAGATACTGCCAGAGGGTTTAAGTTTCTCACTGTGGCAGAAGCTCTCCATAGGCCTGCTGTGTGTCTGCACAATTGCTGGGGCTGCTGGCCTTTGGAGGAGGTGTCATCTGCCAGGATGGGCTCTCAATGGGCCACTGCAGCCTCACCGTTCATGTGTAGGAAGATTTGGCATGAGAATGGCAAGAGTCATGTGCAAAAACTCCTGTTTGGTAACCCTGGGTATGAGTGGCTCAATCTTTCCCTTCCCTTCCCTTCCCTTCCCTTCCCTTCCCTTCCCTTCCCTTCCCTTCCCTTCCCTTCCCTTCCCTTCTTCAATTCTTCCCTTCCCCTTCCCCCTCCCCTCCCCTCCCCTCCCCTTCCCTCCCTTCCCTTCCCTTCCCTTCCCTTCCCTTCTCCTTCCTTCCTTCCTTCCTTCCTTCCTTCCTTCCTTCCTTCCTTCCTTCCTTCCTTCCTTCCTTCCTTCCCTCCCTTCCCTCCCTTCCCTCCCTTCCCTCCCTTCCCTCCCTTCCCTCCCTTCCCTCCCTTCCCTTCCTTCCTTCCTTCCTTCCTTCCTTCCTTCCTTCCTTCCTTCCTTCCTTCCTTCCTTCCTTCCTTCTCTCTTTCTCTTTTCTGTTCGTTGGGCTATACCTGGTGATGCTCAGAGCTTACTCCTGGCTCTGTGCTCAGGAATGACTCCTGGTGGTGTTCGGGGGAACATGGGATGCTGGGAATTGAAACCGGGTTGGCACTGTGTACAAGGCAAATGCCTTACCTGCTGTACTATCTCTCTGGCCCCATGAATAGCTCAATTTCTGGGGGGGGGGGTCAAGAAAAAATTCGAAGGGCCAACATTTGTAGAAATACCCCAATACACCTTTTATTTAAAATTGTAGATTTAAAGCAATGCTTCCCTTTCTCTTAGACACTGTGAAAAGCAAAGTACCATCTTCTCTGATTTTCTGAGTGTCCAGTAGAGTAGCATTCAGGGAAGGATAAAGGGAATCTGAAAATGTCACCTTACATGCGACTGAGATGCTTAGTTTAAAAGAATTGATCCACAGGCAATTTTGAAAGTAGATAAGAGAAACATTCTAAACTTTTGAATTAGCATAAAGAATATGAAACAAGTGACTTCAGCTATTAGTAATAAAAATGTATCTAAGAATTATTTTGTGACATTTAATATTCTAATAAATGGATTATTGTTTTGTATTTGTCAAGTACATTTTTCAAATCAGCTGGTAAGGTTAAAAATACAGGGCTTTACAGTGGACAGAGTGCTTGTCTTGCACAAGGCCCATTTGGGTTCATTGCCTAGCAGGAACCCCATATAATCCCCCAAGAAACCCTAGGTGTGACCCCTGAGTTCATGGTCAAGAATGAGCCCTGAGCACTACCAGTTATATCCTCAAAACAAAAAAGAGCAGCAATAATAATAATAATAATGTTGATAATAAGAATAATACCCCCCGGCTTCTGATTTTCATTACCCTGTTTTTTTTTTAAAATTATTATTATTGAATCACTGTGAGATACAGTTACAAGCTTTCATGCTTGAATTTCAATCATACAATGATCAAACACCCATCCCTCTACCAGTGCACATTCTCCACCACCAATGTCCCCAGTATACACCCCCCCCTTTTCTAGCCCTCCCCCTGCCTTCATGGTAGACAATTTCCCCCATACTCTCTCTTTACTTTTTACCCTTTTTTTTTTTTGAAGTTACTATTTTTCATGTGGAGAAAGCTCTAATATCTTAAGGAGTTTCAATTCTTGAAGAAGTATCAATCTGGCAATTTATGATTACGGCAGAGCATGATTATGGCAAAGCATACTGTTTTGTGTGCTCTGATGTTTGTTTCCATTTTGGAATTTCAAATCCAAGCTGAAAGTCTTTGATCAAGGTGACACAACTTGGAGACCTGTTCTGGACATCTGGGCAGGAGGTTCTAATCTTCAGGTACAACTGTTGAAAGTGTATTTGTTTCAGTGTTTATTATACACCAGGAACTTAAATAATGTATCAGCTGCTAAAAAATGACAGTTCTTTTAAAAACAGATCAAAGACTTTGATATAAATATGAGCAAAGAGAAAAGTCTGTGGCTAAGGAGTATAAGTCCTCCGATTATTAGTGAGCTGTAGGTGAACTTCTGGGTCATCTGTAAACATTTAATGCATTTTATTTTGTCTAATCTGGAATTGCTTTCCTGGATCTGCCCCAGGCTTCAGTGTGAAGGACTTGGTAGGTGTTTCCTAGGAGGGAAAACAAATCTGATAGACTCAGATGCACCACTGAGAAAGTGTATTTATTGCAAGAAACTTCATCATGGGGGGACGGGGCAGGAAATAAATAAAAAAGAAAAGAGACTTCATCCTGGGTTCCAAAACTACTAGTGTGGGTCTTATGTTGAGCTAGATTATCTGTCCAACTTCTCAATAACTAGCTGATCTGGAAATGAACATCATTTTATATTACCTGCTGCAGAGATGAAGAAGAAAGCCCGGGGGCTGGGAATCAGGCGACGAGGTGGCAGCGCTGTGATACAGGCCACTGCTAATCGCAGTGTCGGAGCCGGGCTCTGCACCAGGCCCAGGCAAGCCTAGTGCCGCCTTCCTTCCTTCTGTAACTTTCTGCTTCTCATAGGTGGTCCGACCTGAGGGAAGTATCAGTTCTTCAAAAGAAAGCCTTAAATTTATTTCAGACCCAGTGGGAAACTAAGGGGTAGTAGCCCTACTGTCTTCATTGATTCAGAAATAAAGTCGCTGTTCCTTGTTTAGAAGTGCCTTAGCAGTTCATGTTGGAAGCTGTCAGGTGGTATCTTTGTGTCAGTTTTATATCAAATCAAATATTCGCCATGGAAGTCTTGATAGTAGATTTGCAAGGACACATACATTCATGGGTACATTGAGAATGTCAGCATTCATTTATGAATGAAATGCCATTGTGTGGGCCTGCCTGTGAGCTTCCTGTGAGCTTCTTTTTCCATAAAGAAGACTTTTACCTGTCTTTACTGTATGATCAAGAGAGCAAGCTCTGTAATATAAATCTGAAATAAAGCTTAGGTTTATAACTAATATATGGGGTGCGCGCGCGCGCGTGTGTGTGTGTGTGTGTGTGTGTGTATTTGGGGGAGGCCTTCCAGCTCTGCTGGCACAAGGGTGGGGGCTGTTCCCAGTGATTCAGTCAGCTGGGCCAGACAATTCAGTGCTTGGGTCCAGTGGTGCTTCAGGTCTCCAGGGCCATCCCTGCCAAGTGCTTAGGGGCCTTGCAGTACTGGGGGACAGACGTAGGACCTGTGCAGCAAGGAATGAGTCCAGTCCTCTGAACTCACTCCCTGGCCCACAGAATGATACTTATGTAAATAGATGCAAGTACACAATTTTTTTTCTTATTTATTTATTTATTTTGAATACCCATCCCTCCACCAGTGACCATTTCCCACCACCACAGATCCCAGTATCTCTCCCACCCCCCATCCCCCATCCCAATTTTTAATGTAGGTTTTATAAAATATTAAAACCTCCTTCAGTCTTTCTTGGGAGAAGAAACATGTCTTAAGGCCTCACCTAAATACATACACACACACACACACGCACACAAACACACACACATGCACGTAAAAGGTGGTGCATTGTTGGCAGGGGGTTTTTACTTTGTGATTTATTTTCATGTTCCTTTTTGTTTGTTTTGGGCCACGTGTGGTGATGCTCAGAGGTTATTCCTGTCTGTGCTCAGGAAAAACTTCTGGGTCATCTGGCTGTGCTTAAGGCACCATGTGGATGACGGGAATTGAACCTGAGTTGACTGCTTCCATGGCAAATCCCATCCCTGCTATACCATCAGTCCAGCCCTGTGTGTTCCATTTTTAAAAATGATTCACTACTAGTTTTATAATGAGGAAAATGCTTGTTCTTACAGTTTCTATCCGTCCTCTGGTGATAAGTACTGGACAGTGCCTACAAGTTCTTTGTTGGTGGTTAGGTGTGAGGGATTCCTTTCCTCTGGCTGACCTGACGTGGGGGAGAGAATTCTTAGTCACTGAAGAAAAGTAACTCTCGAAAGTACTTTCTGTTGATCGTTTATTTGGGGGAGGGAGGTTAGCTTGTATCAGGGAAGGGAAAAGGTGAGAGAAAGGACAGGAGGGAGCAACTGTTCCCAGAGGCTCAGGCGGTCACCTCCATATGGAGGAAGACAAGGAATTCTTTTGGAAATGGGAAGAAATGGAAGCAAAGTGATTGTCCTCATTATCTCTCAGAAAAGTTGCTTTTAGAAAATATGGTTTCCTTTCTTTTCTGACAGGACATGTATTCCTCTGAGCAGCCTTGGACAGCAGAGTGTGCTTTCCTCGTCGATTGGGACTGCGCCTGGAGCCCTTTCCAGCCATGAGTAAGTGCTTTTTCCAGCGTGGTGCCCGGAACAGGGGGACCGCCATGGCAGGCGGCCGTGCGTCCCCTCATCAGGGCTCTGACACTCTGCTCAGACCCAACCCTGAAGCAGGAGAGACTGGTGTGTGCTTTGTGCCTAGAGGTTGGAGGTGGTGAGCAGTCTGTGTCATTCTCTCCTTGGCTCGGAGCCTCATTGTCTGCAGCTTTCTATAGACTTGTCAGCCTGTGCATCTCACTCTTTAGAAATGCCAAGAGGGAAAATTACAGTGGGCTCTGTTAGCACATTTTTTATTGGATGAAATTGAGTTATTGAGTACCATGAGTTAATACTATATGTAAGCCCCACAAACCAAAAACCCTGAACTGACTATTACTTTTGAGGGAATTTGAATGAACTGGAACCAAAGTCTGTCCCATACCTGTGGGATTTCATGCCCTTATCTTCTCAGTGTGGATGTGACATTCTTTGTCTCCTTCTGCTGAGAATTGGATTTCACTATTTTGGGCTAATGTTTACTTTCAGAGGGAAAAAAAGCAGGGGGTGGGGGAGGGAGTGTGTGGGGAGGGTCTGCAAAGATTTGACCCTGATTGGTATCTTATTATACTTCTGATATACTTTTTAAAAAGGGCAGCTTTTTTCCATAAAGAAAACTTTGAGCATTTCCTTGTTGGAATATAGTTTCAGAAAATCAGTATTATAAAAGTTTTTGTCATATTGATCAAATCTACCTCAATATGAGTAGAGTAGTATTCCTCCTCACCAGTATGGAAAAAATAACTGAAAGCAGTCAATCAGTGAACATTAAGCGTTTATGGGAAACCCTTGTCTGCTTCTTGCATGGCGGTGCGGTGAGGGGTGGTCTCTGCTTTCCTGGCCCCTTCCGTGGCTGCTCTTAAGACTGGTGGGCACTTTGAACAAGCAGGAATTGCTAGTGCAAGAGTTCAAATGTGGATCAAGAAAGATGCAAATGCATTCTTGGAGCTTTTGTGAGCAGTTCTGCCATTGTGTGGGCCTGGCTGTGAGCTTTCTGATGGAACAGAATCAGGGCTTGTGTTGGTGGCTGAGGGCCCTGGTCCACACCACAGTGGGGATGTCACAGACCAGGCCACCGAGTCAGCTGGCATTAGGTCAGCAGCTTCTGGGGCCGGGACATGCAGAGTGGCGACCTGCACTTAGTCTCCTAAGTGAGGAGGAGGGTCAACGCCAGCCTGGGTTCTGAGTGAGCAAGCCCCGCTGGGGAGCGCTCTCACATAAATGTGATTTATGTGAGAATGAATCGCAAAGTAAAAGCCCCCTCCCAACCTGTGTCCCCCGCAGGCCAGGTTTCTGCTGTCCGCTCCCACTCAGGGCTCCAGAGCCCAGTTTAGCTGCCTTAGGCTCAGCTGGCCTGGTGCTCCTGCTCGATTCTCCACCTGCGCATAGGCATGTGTGGCATGTCTGGGGGCACAGGCATGTCATTATACAATGTGTTTTTATGTATTTGCCATTGCTGTGTGGTGGAGAATGGGAACTGCAAAGCATGAAGGGTTTAGCCCTGGGTTGGAGTGATAGCACAGTGGTAGGGCATTTGCCTTGCTCACAGCCAACATGGCTGACCTGAGTTCGATTCCTCCACCCCTCTGAGAGAGCCCGGCAAGCTACCGAGAGTATCTCGCCCGCACGGCAGAGCCTGGCAAGCTCCCCGTGATGTATTTGATATGCCAAACACAGTAACAACAAAGTCTCCAATGGAGACGTTACTGGACCCGCTCGAGCAAATTGACGAACAACGGGAGGGCCTTTACCTTTACTTTTACTGTATCATAGTGCAGAATTCCTGCCTTCACTGTTAGCACATTAAAGCAAAGTTTGTTTCTGCTTAGTTGCCCAGTTCCTGGAACTTCTCTTTGCCACCCAGGCCCCATCATGGTGACTGGCTGACCTCTATGTGCTGCTGTGATACTGTTCCCTGCCCTATGCATTAGAGTGACTTGCCAGTTTGCTCCTTTCTTTAATCGCTTAACTTTTTTTTTTTCTCCCTTCTTTGGGCCAACCTGGCAATGTTCAGGGCTGACTTCGGGATTATTCCTGGTGGTGTAATATGTCCGATATTTATGTCCAGGGGCATCATACAGGATGTTGGAGTTGAATCTGGGTTGGCTGTGTGTAAGGCAATTGCCTTGCCTGCTGTGCTATTGCTCCAGCTAAATCTGTCCACTCTTTGAGCAAAAAGGCATAGTTTGTGCCTAAAACTGGGCCTGGGCTTTACAGTGAACAAGAAAGAGAGGGAGCAGTATTCTAGGATAAAATCTTCCCCGGGGGTTAGGAAAACATAGGGTTTGAGGACACAGAAATGTAGCAAGTGAACATTTTGGAGTACAGAGATAAAAAAGAAAGCAAAATCTGGGTCCAAGTCATGTACATTCCTAAAGTTTGGATTAGATTCTATAGAGGCTGTTGCAGGATTTCAGGGAGGGGCGCAACTGCAGATTTCGTTCTTGAAAATGACCTAAAAGGTAGACATTTTAATTGAATATATCAAGGAGATTGACTACAGTCAGTCTTTCCTTGCTTTGTTCTTAATTTGCAGCTTTTTTTTCCAGGCTCCCTTTGAAGCAGTCTTTTTTTTTTTTTTAAATTGTAGTATTGCTACTTATTCAGCCGTTGATTAAGCTGATTGAACATGAACTCCACCTTTTTTCCCTCCCTTTTTTAATAATTTTATTTATTGAATCACTGTGAGAGCAGTTACAAAGCTTTCAGGTTTAAGTCTTGGTCATACAATGAAACACCCGTCCCTTCACCAGTGCCCATTTCCCCCCACCGAAAACCCCAGCATACCCCCCATCCCACACCCTCCCCCTACCTGTGGGGCAGATGATTTCCACATTACTCTCTCTCTACTTGGATTACATTCAATATTTTGACACCAGACTCACCATTATTAATTTGGGATTTTACCCCAACACTCAGATCTGCAGAAAAAGCAACTGTAGACAATTTGTTTTCTATTTCTGGTTATGAATAACATATGATGTTGTGTGGCTGCAGTAGTGGAATTCTGAAATTTAAACAATTAAAACTGGAGGAATTTCTGCCAAAACCTGCTGGGTTCTGAGATTTGTTCCTGAGTCTCTTGGATCATGGCCGTTAAGCAGCTTAATTAGGAGCCAGAGAGGCCATTTGTAGGCGGTGACTCGAGGGTCTTGTTGGGGTGGGGAGGAAAGGGCCTGCTCCACCCCCATCCTGTGAGGCCCCATGTATCTCAGCACTGCAGGCCCAAACCTGACTGTCCAATGGCCTCTGGAGGATGGCGGCCACCTTGCCGCCAAGGGGGAGCAGGCAGAGGGACCTTCCCACCTCTCTCCCCCTTGGGGTGGTCTGGCGCCGGTAACCCATTGCGGGGACCAGACTCATCTCTGCTAAAAGCTGCTGGGTTCCGAGATTTGTTTCTGAGTCTCTGGGATCATGGCCATTAAGCAGTTTGATCAGGAACCAGAGAGGCCATGCCTCCAATTATGTAGCTGAGCCAGAGGTGGTTTGTGGGTGTGTCTCCCACATACCTAACTTTTGGCCGTTTACTTTCTTGGTAAACTGCCCCAAGTTTTTGGGGTCTGACCAAAGGCACAGCAGCAATTTTGGGCCATCAGGCGCCATCTGGCTGCTGATGCACTCACCTCACAGGTACAGATAGACCTGCTGGCAACACCATACCCCCATTTGAAACAGTCTTGGGTTAACATTTCTTTTTCTTGCTGATTCTTTGATTTCTTTTAGTGGTAAAAAATTATTTGTTTTGTTTTGCTCTTTTTTGGCCACATCTGGCAGTGCTCAGAGTTCACTCTTCAGTGCTCAGGAGACCAGAAGGTGCCTGGGATGGAGTCCAGTGCTGAGCCATTTGCCTGGTCCTAGAATTCTTGAGTAGAATGCCGTAACCAGAGTCAGGTGGGGTGCTGGTCTGTATTATGCTGTGATTTCTAGGAGATTATGAGTTTTCAAAAAGATGGGGCTTGAGTCTATCAAAATTTCTGTTTTTTTGAAAAAAAATGTTGGAGAAGCAAAATGCAGGTTAAACATAGGAATATATGTCAGTGTGGGTGACTGAATCTTTACTTCTATGCTTCTCCAGAGAGAATGCAGGCTTGAGCCCTGGTGTGTATGGGCAGGCTGATTGCTGAGCGCTCTCCCCTCCCATGTGAGGAAGTGGCGCTTGTACAGCCTACAGTGCCCATGGGGGCATGTGGGGCCTCACACCTCAGGTGAGGCTGCCACTTGTGCCCAGTGACCCTGACCACAGGGGATCGGTTTCTCTGTGTACTTGACACACTGCCCCAGCTCTAAAGCCAGGGGGTTGTTAAACACTTTTTATTATTGCTTTTGGCTGGGCCAGGGGTCACCATCACCTGGGTGCTAGGGATTGAACCCAGGCCCTCTACTGCTGAGACTCATCTGGCCTGTTGGTTCAAATGAATTAAGATTTTTTTACCCAGTTTTAAGTCTAAGTCTTTCCATGTCAAACTCTGAGGCGGAATGTTTATTTTGTAGTGCATTGCACAATGCTATTACACTGCTGTGCATTTCATTGTGAATTGTTAATTACAACCCACAGAAAACCTTTTGGTTCTCTGTGCTTGAATTGTTCTCGTTTTTCTATATTTGCATATTTTGCTACATTTAACATTGATCAAATTTGTCTAAAACTTTATCTGATGGTGCCCAAGATGCAAAAATTACCAAGTAAGTTGATTTGTATGTTTAAACTGTGGCTATAATTGGAAATGAATCTCATATCTTTTAATGGCAATTAGAACAACATTAATAGTTTATATAGAAAACAGTGCCAAACAATTTCTAAAGGATTGTTTTGAAAGAACATGCATAAGGAAGAAGCTACAAAAAACAAAGGTTATTGCTGCTTAGGTACTACTTCATTTTCTCACATTTTTTTCCTTATATTTATTTATTGAATCACTGTGGGAAAAGTTACAAAGCTTTCAAGTCTAAGTCTTGGTCACACAATG